TGATTAAAAATAAAAGACAGAGAGTCAAGGAGAGTGTGTAAATCTGTCTTCCTGCAGGCGGTGCACTGTTGCATAAAGCAGGTGGCCATTTAGCGAGGAAGTAGGAAAACAAACTACAGTCATCCACTTAGAAAAACATAGCACAAACAGACAGACACACCTAGGCCGCCACACACACCATGTACCTGTGACAATGTCTCTGACCAGCACGGGTTCATTTGAGGTGAGGGTGAAGCCATGTCCCGTGCTGCTGTCAAGGACCGGGTCCCTGGTGATCTGCAGTGTCAGCTTGGTCTGGAAGTTCTGATTGGACAGACTGTTGGAGTGCTGCGACCTCCCATCACCTAGCAACCGTTCTCTGAGGGCGCCAGACCGGGTGACAGGTTAACTGAGGTGACACTACAACTGTGTGGTATATTCAGGAAAATGAAGGGGAAGATATTTCCTTGCTGTCAACATTCATCACTTTTTTTTACAAATTGTCTAATTTTTTTATTTTTAAAATTGACAATTAAAAAGCAGCAAAAGCTGTATTGCTGTTGAATTTCTTATTTTTTTTTAATTTCCCACAACTTTGGTGATGGTTTATACAGATAAAATAGGGCTTCAAAATCATTTATTTTCATCACTGATTAATAAAGCGAGTGGCCATTTTGTTTATAAAATGTTAGAAATTTATAAAACCTGCTCATTACAATTTCTTGTTAGCCCAAGATGACATGTTGGACAGCTGAGTGCTAAGGCTGGTATGGTAACAAGCTCACAGTGTTAACATGCTGATGTTTAAAAAGTATAATATATACCATACTCATCATATTAGTTTAGCAAGTTAACATTTGCTGATGGTAATGTTTTGTAAAGTTGTTACAATTCATCTTGAGGAGATGTGAATGTGTGTAAACCACCGAATCAATGTGAAGAAGCCTTGACCAAAGTGGTGCCCTGACAAACACTGAGCCTCACCACAGTTATGGCAATCTCAGTTTCCTGGAAGCCACAAGGTTGCAAGGTTAGCATGATGTGTGATATAAAGCCGCAATTAATGATTATTTCATTACAAATTTATTTGCTAGTTTAACTTGGTTGCTAACATTAAATAACAGGCCAAGCAGACCTTGCTATAGTCTTAAAAATCATCAGCTCAGTAGCTGGAGAACAGAGGTCACATTCATATGAACCATTAAACATTATCAGCTCAAAGGCACCTGGGGAACATACTACAATGTGTGTACATGCTGAATTTATATCTAACATTGACATCCTCTCTCTGAGGTCTCTGATGACTAACGGTGGTTTGCTGGGCTTCCTCTGCACTGCCTCCTTTGCTGAGACAGAGAAACCACTTAGTGGACAACAGGGGAATGAAGGGCTTTGAAAGCTTATTTGTGGTTCACCGGGGGTTGTGTTTGTATGTGAGAGGGACAGTCAGGTTTATACACAACTGTGTGTTATGTGTCTGAATGTGTGGGTGTAAGGATGTTTGATGTTTGTTTGTACCACGTTTTGTACTGATACATTTTTATATACTTTCTTCAGATTTTTCTCCTCTTTAGAGTGATTTTAATTTAACAATGGAATCACATTTCTCATGTAAAATCACATAATTTGTAAAGCCAGTTTTTATGTTTTAAAGTTAAATATACCATGCATCCAGCACCTCTTCTCCACTACAGGATCTGACAGCAGGACTAGAAGTGGATGGTGCACCACTCTCTATCCCAAACTTGATTGTTTGGTGTTTTAATTTGTGGTTTGTGTGGAGTCAGCATTATCTGCTACAGTACCTTTGGCTGTGTGGTGCCGTCACCTTCAACTGCTTACTCAGTTGTTTTCCCATCAAAATCTACTCCTATTTGTCACTCACTCATACTGAGTATAGGGGCTTTTAAATCACCTGCAGTAACTATGTGAGGTGTCAGTGGTTGCATTCATGTCTTTCCAAAGACTAGATGTGAATAAAGCAAAGGGAAAGTACTGGAGTGACCTTATAGGAAGGTTTCACCCTCCTCCCTCTCTATTTTTTTTACCTTTACAGATGATTTGCTGAACCCTAAAGTAGATCTTTAGCCTCAGCTCTAACCCTCATTCATTCTGTACCTGCTAAGTGACTCTCGGGTGCGTCGTATTATTGTTCCCACCACCTGCTGCATCCGGCTGGCCCTCCGAGCTGGAGACCTGCTCCTACATCGCTCTTTCTCCTCCATTTATCTAAACATGCAAAGAGAGACAAGCACATGATATAGACATATAGGAGAGAACAGGTGTCAACATGATGAGAAAAGGATTTAGAAAGAGAAAAACTGTTGGAAACTGTTAAAGTTTACTTCTGTCTTTTCTGACTGGGCTAAATTTGCGTCTCATTGGCTCTGTTTTAATATGCAGAGCATGTAGCCTGACTCCAATATCATGAACAATCAGATATGCGAAGAGAGAGCAAGAAAAGGTCAAGAGAGAAAAAGAGGTGGGTGGAGTTTATTCAACAACACCTCAACTGTCCTGATTCTCAACAACACCCAGAATTCACAAAGTTCAACACAAAAATGCTACAACCTGCATCTGTGCATTTTCTGCTTACTCTGCTTTTCAAACATGGGGCTGGTGGGGATATAGTGAAGGATGGAGGGCTCAGCTGTGAACCCCAGGGAGGCAAAACTGGCCAGCACTGAATCCTGACCAAATCCAAAGACTTACAACTCCCCTCAGTTGTGTTTTGGTTCTGTCAGCCAATCAATACGATAGCATCAAGCTCCTAGAGGCTCTGATAATTCCTAGACGGGACCAGACTTCATTATCTAGCTACACATATATTCTACAGGGGGTGCACTGTTATACATGTTCATGTTTCTTTTTTTTATAGGTGCAACAACAACATAGACTTTAGAGAGCAGGGGTGTGCTGCAGAACCTGACTTCAATGGGCATTTGAACTTGTATGTGTTTTTGGAATCAAACTATCTTTGTGTTTTTGTTTTCAGCTGATACTGTTTTGCTGCTGTGTTGTGATATTTCACAGCTATATTGACCTGTTTGACTCCATGAGGCAGAGAAAACTAAAGGAAGCTTTAGCAGGGATGGGAAGAGTAGTGAGCCAGACCTGATCGATTTGGCTAACGATGATGAATGTGATCCTGCAACCTAATGATCCATACCATGGCCTTAGGAGTCAGCAGGCCAAGAGCTTAACTTGATCAACTACCTGAAATACAGAGGAAACTTCTGCAAGTCAAGGTTTTTGTGAAGATCTAAATACAAGTACAGCAGGTTTCTGGCAATCTGCCACACCTGTCTGGTGCATTTTAACATGCCTCTATCAGTAAATGAAGTGGGTTGAGTCATTACAGTGCAATTACCTTTCTGTACGTTAAGTTGTGAGTTATGTGGAAACTGAAATTACACACTGCATTGCAATCAGTAGAGGATGTTAAGCAGCACTGCTGTAGGTTACATCATACTCATGAGATTGAAAACAAAATTAATTTGTCCTTTTCTTTTTAGAGACAGCCAGCAGCCAAGAGAGCGGGATTTCGGCTCAGCTCTCTTGATGATTGCTTGTTGAACGATGACTAGCCTCCCTCAGCAGTAGTTAAGCACACAGTGTAGCTCTGTCCTTTAAGAGGATTAGAGGCCCCCATCCTGCGCGGGCCCACACTGGTCAGGGTGTCACTTTAGCACCTCCCGCTGATCCGGATTGAAGCAGATTGATGTGGATGAGGAAGGATGAGTGAAGCTAGGTAGCACACATCTGCACAGGAGGAACCAAGTGAGGTTACTGACACACCCACCATGTTGACACGGTGTCATTCTGCTTGCAGGATTATGGATGTGCACCTGTGTGCTGTATGTGCTGTAGTGCTGCAATCGGTGCTGAGTCAGGTGAGGGTTCTTGCCATCATTCTCCCACTTTCTCTATTCTCTGTCACTCTCGCCTCAGTGTCTCTCACCCTCACCGCCCTTGCCGAGTCAGGTAGTCGTCTCTAATGACAGTCTCTCTGTACATCAGCAGCAGCACCCAGCCATTTTTATATACCTGCACATTCTAAGCACTTAATCAAGGGGTTTACTATCTTTTCTCTTTACACTAACAGCCCACCTCTATGACGTTAATAAAGCAGATAATTAAGCAAGTACAGGGGAATACACACTCACTGTGGATTGGTGTACATGGTTCAACCCCTGAAATGCTTTTTTAAAATAAATATTCTGCATAAATATTCTAAGACAGCAGCACAATATCCCACATTTTAACTAAAGATTGTGAGAGCATGACTCACCGTGATGTAGCTTGTCTCTTCAGGACTCCAGAACACAAATACCCTCTCACCCTCTGGGACATCAGCTCTGGAGCCCCTCCAGGATTGGCTGAAAAGAGGTGGAGGGGGGTCCTTGTAATCATCAGGGCCAATCCCAATCTGATGCAGCCACCTGTGCAGAAAAGAGCAATACTATGATTGAGACCTGTCAAAACCTATAAATAATATTAGAATTAGAATAAAACATAAATGGCCAGTATTCAGGTCTGATTCAGTTGGACCAGCTATGTCTGCCTTGGATTCCTAACTGGTAACAACATACCAGTTGTTGATATTTTCAGAGTGAACACACAAGTATGTCAAGCAAAACAGATGTGAGTCCAAACCAGTTACATGGTTGTGGTTTTCCAAGAGGCTCCTCCTCCAGTCCCCAAGGCTCGCTCACTCTCTATCTTTCTCACTCTCTCTTTACTCCTCCATAGTCTCAAAAGCACATGGTAATGTGGAGACGAGGCACTCCATCTCCATCTGGTTGTCCAAATTAAAATTTCATACCACTCAGTTCAGTTAACAGTTCTTACTGGGCCCACTCTAAAAGCAAAGAGGACACCCTTTGAATGTTGATGTGGTGGAGAGAGAAATGCTGCCAGGCAGACAGAGATCTTTGATAATAACAAAAAAGGGCAAATCTTTTATATGAACATCAGGGCAGATATGGCTGTGATCATTATAGCCAAACTCTGGTTTGGGGAGAAGAACACATGGAATGCTTTGCTGTAAAAAGCCTGGCTGTTGAATTAGGAGAGACACTAAATAAACATTCTTGATCTTGTCTAAGGAAACCACCTCATTTTGCACTTGAATGTTGATCTTTGAAGTAAACTCTCACTCCACAAGGCTTTCATTTAGAAGAAGTAGCAGAAATCAAGGAAGTGATAGTCCCATCTGTGCAGCTCTTCCATCAGGCCCTGTGTCACACACAGAGATGTTTCAGGAGGACCATATGTCCCAGCGAAAAGCCAGCAGAAGACCTAGACCCACACAGACTGCAGGGCACATGAATAATGCATGGGGCTAATGCAGTTAGGTCTGCCTCCGACCACCTCCTTCTGCCAGTTTGCCAGCACAAGCAACAACAAGAACAGAGCAGCAAAGGAGAGAGACACAAGCAAGATGTATGAGGGGTTGCAGGAAGGCAAGGAGGGGGAAGGAGGCAAGGAGGGGCTGAGAAAAGGGGAATGCACAGAGAAAAGAGAACTGGTTAAGGCAAAGAAAAGAGAGAAAGGACAGGATATTAGAGGGATGAGGAAAGGGGGAGAATTTTAAAGAGGGTGAAGAGGGCAGGGGCAAAGAAATGAGGGAGTAAAGCTGCGGGAGACAAAAAGAAAGAACAAAAGTATCTGAAGTGTGACGCAGGAGGAAGGGAGAAACAAAGCTGATTAATGTAGCCTTTCTCCTCCACCTGAGAGCAAACAATGTCAGTCAGCAGACAATGATGTATGGTCAGTCATCAGATAAAGAGAGCAGACCTGTAGCATTGTTACCATTTATTAGTCTGTTTTATTCTTCCTCCTTTTTGCTTGCTTTAAATGAGGAGATTGTTCGCTCTTTCTAGTGATCTGACAGCATTTTCAGTGGATCTAAGGTTCAAATCCAAAATAGAAAAGCCTGCATGTCTGCAAGCTGTTGATGAAGCTGCTCCTAATCTGGTCCTGAATCAACAGTAATCATGAATCCTGTCCTTCTCAGTCACCCAAGCTGCCCACACACATAGCTCATCAGCTGGTCTGGTCATTCATTCATTCTCCCCCCTTAATTCCGCCCTTCAATTCCTCACCCCTCCTCCAATCTTCACTGTACACGGAGAATATTTGTATAGAGTGCTGTATAGGTAATAAGGGCTCTATTTCAGTGTCTGGGTCTCAATTCTCTGAGAAAGTCTTCCCTCTCTTTGTTCATTTTCCCAGACAATGTCTCTCTGTCTCAGACAAAACAATCAGTTATTCAGCCCTGTCGCCTATATGGGCACACATGCAGTTCACTGAAGTGCTCCACTCTCTCCTCAGGAGTTGAGAGGTGGTAGTGAACTGACAGTTTCTGTGCAGCCAGCTGGATAGAAAACAGCCTAATTAGCACTGCTGGGCCAGGCTGAGCCACAGCAGGTCAGACCTGGACCTGGACAGGGCCTGGAGAAGCTTCATCAGGATATGATGTGGCAGGAAAAAAATTCACAGACACAGCTGCTGGTCTGTTAGAAAACTTAATCTACACTAATAGGTTTGACAATTTGACTTACAGAGTGAATTTTTTGATAACAAACTTAAATTCTTGTCACTTTGCTATGTGCAGTACTGAAGGAAGACTGGACTCAGCACATTCAAGGACAGCACACACAACTCACATGCCTTAATATGATAAGCAAGTGGAGCAGTACACAGTTGGTAACCAGACTCCGGCAGAAACCTCGCTGACTCACTAAACAACAGCTTTTATTTAAAAAGGAGCAGTTGGCTGCTATTGACATCTTGCTCCCAATCTGTCTCACACGCACACACACAGAAATACATTCACACATATTCTCCTCCAGCACACCGGATACAGCTGCTCCACATGAAATGCAGGGTAGCTGCAGCGGGGGGTTGGTTCAGAAACGTAACAATTCATTTTGGCTCAAAGTCGCTGCCAACTACGTTGGACACAAACCTCAGTGAACATTCAGTCCTAGAGCAGCGTGGTTGGCCAACAAAAATATGTGTGAATACGTGCATGAATAGCTGTATGACTTGAAGTGTGAATAATTTAGATTTATGAGAAGCAGCTGGATTGTTTCATGCTTTAAAAGTTGCAAACAAGGAGCAACAAGTAGAGCAGACAATACTCCAAAGAGTATTTTTATCTTGCAAAAGGCTGCAGGAAAATGAGATACAAAAAATAAGCTTTTAATTCAGGGTCTGAGCTTTGTCATAAATTTAATTTATGTCAACATGAATAGACATTGCATTAAACCGGTTTCAAAAAATATCTGGATTCTCATCTAAAGTTTGAGAAGCATAAAAACAGCATGAAAGCCAAAATAGGATACAAGTAGGCAAGCTGATGACTGTAAATGTACACTCAGATGCAATGTAAATAGTTTTATGTAGACGAAAGTATTTTAAAATCCAAGTTCAAACAGTTTTTAAAGTGGAACTAGTCATGTATTATATGTTGGTCAGTCCACCACTTTGGTCCAGAGTGAAATAGCTCAACAACTACTGAATTTTTGTGCTTTCATGGTCATCAGAAGATAAATCCTGGTGACCTCTGTGATCCCCTAACCTGTTTTTCTAGTGCCACAAGCAAGATGAAATTTGTGGTTTTGAGTGAAATATCTCAATATATTGAGAGACTGTCAGGGCCGCTCCGCGCGACCTGCCTCTCTTTCTTTTTTTTCCTCTCCTGCTCTCCCTTTTTGCGGGATCAACGCCTCAGCTGTGTCGCATCGGGTAATTAGTGACTCGTGGGTCGGTGCGCACACCTGAGGCGTATTCCGGTGATTTGTTGGCTTCCTTATTTATACCTCTGGCAGATGCTCCGTCGCCGCCGGAGCATTTGTGACGTGTAACGTACTATACTTAAAGTACGTTATACAAAGGTTGTGTTTGGCCCCTTTTTATTTAATTAATAAACACACGTGTGTGAGATGCTACGCTGACAGTCTCTGTGCGTTTTGGCTTGACCTTATCACGCTAATTATGCGGTTAGCAACACAGAAATGTGCTTTGTCTTCCACGCTGACAGTCGCTGTGCTGTGGATTGCATTGTTGGTTCTTTTTGTTCACCTGTCCGTTCTCATCCTTTGCTATCCTAGTTCCTGTCGTTAGTTTGTGTGTTTACCGTCCTGGTCTCCTTAGTCATCACTGCCCTTCCCTTGTATGTATTATGGGCCTTGTTATGTTGTCACTTTGTTGTTTTTATTCCATTAAGCCACCTTTTTTGTACTAGCACCTGGGTCAGCCATCTTGAGTCCAACCCCAGTTCTCCCTCACCCTCCTGGTGAGGGGGACTAAACCATAACAGATACCATGAAATCATGTCACTTTGAGGTTCACTTAGCATTTCATTCAACACCATTATCATATCTAAAGGTAACATCTTCAAATGGTTTTGTGTGACCAACAGTCCAAAAGCCAAAGATATTCAGTTTACTGTGAAATGACTCTGGAAACAGCCTCGTTTCAAAAGCTGGAAATGGAAAACTTTGGCATAGGTGACTATTAATCAAATATCAGACTAGTTTGTTATTGATTTTCATTTGATTGACAGTTAATTATTATGATTACTCTAATCAACTAATTGTTGCAGCTGTGGTGTCACAGCAGCCACCTCTGCTTGCCTGATTTGTTTGCCTTTTCTGACTGGCGACCTAACTCTTCTTGACCCGACTTAAGAGCTCAGTGACATCTACGTGCCTGCCTGCTCCACTTTTGAGTCCAAATGTTTGCATTAGACTGCGGTTAGAGGTGTTGGTCCATACTATGGACTGATTCCTGGAACAATTAAACATTACAATAGCCTCTATGAATTTTTCACTTTTATCAAATAAAATAAAACACTAATTCAGTCAACTGTTAAAACAGCAGCTCAGAGGCTTGTTTTTTGTCGATTGCCACTGTTACTTGGTAACTTTTTCTGGTTATTTCATTCAGCCTGTCAGCTCACTCCATTAGCATTATGAAGACAAGGCTCACTGTGCACCACTTATTTCATTTCCCCCTTTCATCAGCGACCTGGTGAGGCTCGAGCTCCCCAGTGCACTATTAAATAATGAGTCTTTTGAAGATTAAAAGTGCACTGCATTGTGTTAGGTCTCTGTCAATGATTCAGATGGTCCCCTAGAGAATCAGACAACAAGACAGAATGAGAGAGGATCTTAATGTCTGAGGGAGACCTTTGGATGTTGATAGATGTTGCAAGTCTGGGAAACTGTCTGCCACACTTCTTCTCTTACTGTCTGAGCCAATTTCCTTCAACTCAGTGATCCTTCAAAAACTGCACAATAGTGGTTTCATCTTTGCATAAAAGCAAAACGACAACAATGAGTGCAGCCAGTAAGTCAGCAGCTACAATGAGCCTCTGGGATCTGAAATAATACTCACATATAGCTACAGTAAGACTAATATTTCATATCACAGTGAAGAATAGAAGACAAGAAAACCAGGTTATAGGGACCTAATGCTTTACTCTAGACTTTATGAATTTTAGGCTGCTTTTCATTCCCTTTTACTTCATATAGGTTCGTAAATCGAGTTGGCCTACATTATGGCTCCACTGTCAGTCAACTGTGTCATCACCATGGAGGTGTCACAGAGTCTCCATGCTGAAGAACATACTGTTACAGCTGGGGGAAAATACAAATGTACAGCATATTCCAATTCTGTTCCAATATCCACCTATACACCATCCATCAATATATCTATCATTTCATCAAATCATTCACCACATTAACTAAATACTTGTGAGAAAAACAATACTGGTCAATCAACACCTTCCAGTAGGCAGTACGTGCAACAATATGAACTGAAGTCTTGACAGGTGTAAATACTGTCTGATCTGCTGGTCAAGGCATTGGGCTAGAACAGCAAATGCAAGCCCAGCATGCCCGCTGTGCCCTGGAGACATAAATCTAAGACAAAAGAAGAAGAGAGAGGAAGAGGCTGGCTGGCTGGCTGGCTGCAGTAAGTGGGACAGAGGAGCAGTCAGCAGGGAAGATTGAGGCTAATGCAGCCGGTCTCAAGTCTTTCCTGATGTGCATGTCCTGCCCCTGGTGTTTCTCCTCTGGCAGAGCGACCTCGGAACAGCAACTCCAATCACATGTTGTAGCATACATCCCTGAGTCATAGCACAGTGCCTGCTGCAGTGGCTGAGAGCATGCACTGCTTGGTGCACACAGGAGTGAAAGCAAAATAGTCAGTATCCACCACTGTCTCACATGCTACACTTCACAGGGTCAAGATGAAATCCATCCATCCATTCATTCATTCATGTCTGTGGGCATGTCTGTGTTCGTCTGTGAACCGCAGCATATGGCGCTTTTAAAAAATATTCAGCAGTGTAGCTAAGTGATCGTGTCTCAGCGCACAGTTAAGGCTGCGGTATCACACGTGTCCAAAAGGAACCACAACCAGCGGTCATATTAAATCATGTAATGCATTAAATGAAGGCCCCAGAACAGCAAAACGCATTGTTCTGGTTTAGGTGTGTTGCGCTTGTCATGCCTGGCACGGTACGTTAGATCGCAGGGAAGAGGCTGCTGCTGGCCAAAGGATACGAGCAAAGAAAAGAGCGAGAAGACTGTCCCAGAGTGGCTGCACATCGCCTACGCCCATTCATAATTTGCGTGTTTTACCATCCTGGCATCCCCCTGATCCGTCTGGTTTAGTCCGTTCATTTCCGACCTGAAGCCAGTGACAGTGATTTCACTGCGCATAGGACAGCATGGATGTCCACTATCACTGCATGGGATTGTGAATAAGATGAAATCATATGAATCTTGACTCTAAATCTGTATTATACCTGTTTATATCTAATCTGAAATAACTAATAACTAAACACGATTCGACCGTGTGTGTGGCTCATAAATGCTGGGTAAATGCCCATAAATCAATATTCCCATTACATTGGTCTAACTTTGAGCAGCCATGCCAGTTAAACCAACGGGGCTAAACAAAGAGAAAAAGGGAAATTCTTTTGTTGCTTCCTTTATAATCTAATCGGATTTAAATCTCCCCATCGCCTCCCTAAAACGGGGATATGGGTGTAGCCTGCAGTTGCTGTGAAGATGACTACCAGTTAAATTATTCATTACGATGTAATAAATATCATTCCAAATGAAGGAATGAATGCAAGCTGCATGCGCTTTGGTGTACAGCCGGGCGCTCCTTCATCAGACAATAACACCGGGAAACAGCGAAAAAACTCACCTCGTGGTATGAGGAGGAGACAGACGGACCGGGAGTGAAAGGGTGGTCCCTCTACAAGACCACTGATGCCGAGCGTGTCCAGAAGGAACGATTTCTGTTTCTCAGCTATATCCGCGGCGTCCTCCGTGGCCGGATGGTGATGGTGATGTGGTGTATGGGGGGTTGACTATATGCTGGATGCTGTCATCACACTGGAACTGCTCTCTGCCTAATCCTCGGCCCTGAGTTCAGAAATAAGCCACCCCTCCCTCTCTTCGTCTCTGCCTCCGCTGTCTGCCAGAGGACCCTCACCACTCCTCCGCAAAGCCAGTTAGTTCAATAATAATAATAATAATAATAATAGAGTGTGTATTTTATTCAAAAACAATATATATTATTTGCATTATAATCCAATTTTAAACATAATTGTACAAATTTATATTATTGTATAATTTATAAACAATGCTAGGCTATATGTACATTTGATGACCCCATGCCAGAATAAATAGTAGAATAACAGACAGCGATCACAGGGCCCCACACCCTCAGGGGCCTCCGATGCCTCATATTCACTTTGGCAGCTGGTTTGGTGAATTGCAAATTTATTTGGTAAACTGCACCACTAAATCATAACATCAGCTCAAATAATAAGGGCCTCAAACTATTGGTCTTATAGAGGGACTGTGTGAAAATGATTGTATATTGCATAATCAATTTGATTTTGAACAATTATCAGAAACGTTAGGGTCTACAGGGACCCAGTGTTAATATTTTTCCAAGTGTCAGTGATTGCAGGTGTATCCCAAGTTGTCCCTCTAGTGGATTACTTTGGCCATGCCCAAAACCCAACATTCATTTATTTATCCAGAAACCAAGTCACCCTATTTATAGTTTCTTCCCTCAACAGCTGTTTTAGCCTTTAAACTTCAGCTTGTTAGCCACAAGACATCTCAGTTGCTATAATAATAATTAAATGCTATATTAAATGAATGGACCATTTTAATAAACTACAGTTAAAACTTTGATTCTTTATTAACAGCACAGCAGGCTAAAATATAGGCCTAGATACTGAGCCAAAGAGTATAATATAATACTGTAAATCTATTACAACTTAGAAATATATTAATTATGCCATATATAACACAATAAACTGTTGTCACAACCTTATCTAGTATTTGGTCTAAATTCAAATACCTACCTATTGGCTGCTACAGTGGTGGAAAATAACTAAGTATAATTACTTAAGTGCAGTACTTTTTTTTTGTATAAGTACAAACCTGAGTATTTTAATTTGGTGCTACTTTGACTACACTTTAGAGGCTAACATTGTACTGTTTTACTCCATTATATTTGTTTTATAACTTTAGTTGCTAGTTACCTTTCAAAACTAGATTAATACAGAAAATACAGTATTATAGTAAAGCTGTATTAAGCACCGATGAAAAATTCACTTCATTGCCAGTAGTAATTCACTTTATGAGAATATAAGCTAGTTAAAATAGCTCCCCCTTAACCAGCTGCAACATTAAAGGCGATGTACACAATGATGTATCAGTAACTGCAGGCCAATAATAAGATATACATTAATCAGAAACAGAATCTGCTTTATTGGCCAGGCGTGTTTTAATGTACCATTCTTCATAATGAATACTTTTTAAATACTATAAGTATGTTTTCATGCTAATGTACTTTTACATTAGTAAGGATCGGAGTACATCTTCTACTACTGCAGTGACTGCTACATTTATGAAACACTGAATTTGCATTCGCTTCCCTTCGAGCGGTTTGTCCTTCGGTGCGCACCGTCGTGCAACGTAACTTCCGTGGTTATGTATTTCCGGTTTAGGTTATTTCGCCCATGCTCATGAAATATATTCAACGCCAAAAGCTGAGAGAGCAGGACCTAGTCAAACCACAGCCAAAATGTTGAAATTAGAAGGACTCGGGCCTAAAATGGATCCAGAGGAGATGAAGAAGAAAATGCGACAAGATGTGATCACATCTTTACGAAACTTCCTTATTTACGTCGTCCTTCTCCGAGCCAGTGAGCATATATACTAATGACATTGACATTTAGCTAAACATAAACTTTACTTATACTGGCATTTAAAAACGTTCGTCACCTTATGCATGTAATAACCGATTCATGTTTTTGTTTTTGGTAAACAATACATCTAAGAATTGGCACAGCCGAACAGTACTGATGCCATGAAGGCTTAATAGCTAATGCCTTAAAACACCCTTTTCACAGAAATGAATACAATCATACATCACTTAGTGGCTAGTGAGCTGTTCCACTACATTTTTCCTTATGTTTACAACAGAAACTAATAATCTGTGTTTCTCTATTTACAGCTCCATATGTGTTAAAGAAGCTGGACAGCATATGAGCGAAGCAGCAGGCTTCTCCTTTCCTCCATCCACTGAGTTTACAGCCTCAGAGAAAGTGCGGACCATCTTTTGCAGACAGATGAGGCTGTTACAACCAGCCTCAGAGAAAGTGCGGACCATCTTGTGCAGACAGATGAGGCTGTTATAACATCCTGTGGAAGACAACCCGTGTGTGTCCCATCACTGTGCCGGAGAAACAGCTTTTCATTTCTAGTACTTGTATAAAGTTTAGCCTGCCTTTTTGTGTTAAAGATATTGTGATCATTGTTAAAAGCCATGTTTGAGAGTTGCATGCCTATTACGTCAGTCAATAAAGGGAAACAATGTTGAATCTGTTGATTTCAAATGTGTAGCTGGTATCTGGCAGGCCTATATAGCAAATGTACACTGCCAGGAATTTTTCCATTTTTTTGTTTATATCTTAATCTAAGTGTTGAATATACTGTATATCATAACCTAAAATAAACTGAGGCATGAATGTGAAAATCATTAATTCAATGTCTTCTGCCTCTTGTGAGCAAACATTTGCTCTAGTTTTGACTGCTGTGGGTGTTTGTGTCACATAAACCTTTGTACAGTATCTCCTTAAATACAAAGAATTGATGGGAGTCTTTAATACCATTAGTAGTGTGAAGAACATCTCTTGTGTAAGGTTCTTAACAGATGATAACCTACACTCACGTTAAAATAAAACATTAACATTTCCTAACTTTAAGATATTTGCACTAAGTTTAATTTAAATTGGCAAATAAGTCGACTGGCAGTGTACACTAGCTATTATAGAAAATAAGTTTAACCAGATATTTGGAATTAAAAATATCTTAAGCAATATGGTGGTAAAATACAGTAGCTGTGAATTACAGAAAAGTTCAGTTGCACTTCCACATGATCACCACATGAGGGCAGTGTTACTCTGAGGTTTGATGAGGCTACAAATGATGGAAGACAATGGATGCGATACTGGGGGTGATCTAAATGCAAATTAACAACGAACAGCGCTACAGTTGTAGCTATTATCACTTAGTTGCAGCAGTAGGAGAGGCATAGCTGTGCACACAGCCGGCAATATTTCGAGACAACGACCGAGTCTGCGCCGCATCCCTGCGTTATTGTTGGACCAGGTCCGCCCATAAAGCATCTCCGTGAAAGCCGGCTACAGCAGACAATGAACTACACATCACACTGGAGGTAGGCTGCTGTGAAACCTTACCAGCGTCCAGTTTGCTCGATGCCGTTTCCAGCAGCTGAGACGTGGGTAACGAGAGACGTTTTCCTGCTGTTTGGCACTGAGTTTTTTTTAGAGTGACCTTCATGTGGTTATTGTATTGGCAATAGCAACACGGACACATGTACGATTAAATATCAACAAATCCCACCGCCTATTATGGATTTCCCAGGTCATTTTCAGCACATTTTCAAGCAGCTTAACCAGCAGCGCCTCCATGCTCAGCTGTGTGACTGTGTAGTGGTGGTTGGAGACCAGAGCTTCCAGGCTCACCGCTCCATCCTGGCAGCCTGCAGCTCTCACTTCAGAGCTCTCCTGAACAACAGTGCTGATGAGGTTGGACGACCAAAAGCTGACAGAATTGCAGGCGGAGGACCCAGTGTGATGGAGCTAGATCCAGAGGTGGTGACCCCCGAGGCCTTCTCCACCCTGTTAGACATGATTTATACCTCCACCCTCTCATTGGGAGCCTCCAATGTGATGGATGTGTTGTTGGCAGCCTCGCATCTTCACCTTAACACTGTGGTGAAGGCATGCAAGCTTCACCTGTCCAGGAAAAACTTCCCTGCATCACCGCCTAAGGGATGGAGGTCTGTGCAGCAGCAGCAGCAGTGTCCTCCTTCGCAGGCAGAGATATCAGCCTCACTTCAACAGGTCACATCTGCTGTGGAGGAGGATGTGGATGAAGACGGAGTGGCAGTTGAGGTGAGCCAGTCGGGTGGGGTTGAAGATCGGGGGGTCAGTGGCGAGCAGAGTGCAGCACCACCATTGAGGCGTAAAAGAAATGCACAAGAAGACATGTTCAATGGCAGAAAGAGGTCCTGCAGGCCGCCTGGAGAAAACTATAAAGAGTGTTCACCTACTGTAACCAGAAGCACCATCAGTACCGAGGAGCGGGGAGAGGAGCTGCTGTCCCCCGACTGCCTCAAGACAACTGAAGGGCTCTGGGACAGCAGCCGAGGCAATGAGGAGAAAGAGGAGGAAATAGAGGAGAAATATGAAGCAAGGAAGGGAGAGTCAGAGGAGATCCAGCTACCGAGTCAGTCTGATAGCAGCACAGGAGGTGCAGGTGCATGGGAGAAGGATGGGAGTACAGATGGTGACACTGTGGTGAAAGTAAAGGTGGGAGAAGAAGGGGAAGAAGAAGAAGGAGAGGAGTCAAAAATGGCATTGATTGAGGTGAAAAAGGAAAATCTGAGCACATACTCCCCAGATTTAGACATACTACCAAAATATTCTCCTCCATCTCCACCAAAAGACTGCACAGACAATTTGAACGTGCTAGTAAAACAACAAAATGAGAAAACGAGTACAGTCAGTCCCACAGAGGGAGATGCAAGCTCTTTACAATCACAGCTGTGCACAGATCTTCACACTGATGCACAGAGGGAGGCTGGAGGTTTGGGTGAGGATTCAGTAGATGGTGATGGCCTGGACAGCCTGTCAGAGCTGGCCTTTTCCTGCTTCCTCAATCCCAGTAGTGAAGGTGTAATGGGAGCTCTTGAAGAAGAAGACAGCCTAGCTAGCCTCACCGCTGCTGCCACTGCTGTTGCTGCCGCCACTGATGCAGTTGAACCATGTCAAAGCTCGGAAGAAGCAAACACTTCTTCTGCTCAGCCCTCTGATTCCTCCTCCTCTCTAGTTTTTCCCGTAACCTCTGTCCCCTTGCAGCAGCTTCTCCCAACTCAGAGCCCTGGTTTTAGTGACACACTCATCCTCCATCCCACCCAGAATTCCTTGGCAGGGTTCCTCAGCAGCATCAGACCTGGTCTCAGTCTGGAAGCCTCTCTCGTCCAACCCTCCAGGGCTGGGAAGAGCTCAGGAGCAACAACTTTCCGTCGCATCGCTCCCAAAGTGTCGCCTGGATCAGAAACTGGCACAGATCCGCCCTCTTCCTCTGGATCAGCAGGGGATGCTGCTGCTGATCGGCCACCTCTAACCAGAGCTTCTGAGGATGTTCTGTCCAAGTGCAAGAAAGCAGCTGCTGAGGACCACGTACTGTTGGTGGAAGGGGAGAAGAAATATGCCTGCAAAATCTGCTGTAAGACATTCATGAACCTGACTGACTGTAAGAAGCACATTCGTGTCCACACAGGAGAAAAGCCCTACCCCTGTCCGAAGTGCGGCAAACGCTTCAGCCAGTCTTCCCATCTGTATAAGCATTCTAAGAATACCTGTCTGAACTGGAAAGATGATCAGTCATTCCCAGACAGTCTGCTCTGACTGCTTTGCTAGAGACACAGCTTGACACCACTCTATATATGTATTTATTTATTAACTCCAAACACTTTTGCAATCAATTTTGAATTTTATGTTACAGGAAATGAAAGGTGGCACTGTCGTTTACATTCTATTTTCTACATTTTAAAAAATGATTCCTGAAACAAATGAATGGAAGAGAAAACAGACAAGCTGACATGCACTGAAAATATTCTCAAAAAACAACATGTTTTATGATTGCCGTGTCAAGTGATAAGAATAAATGATACACAAATCTTTTTTATTATATGCTTTTTATTTAGTTAGCTCTATTTCAGGCTCTAGATGGTGAGTTCACTGGGCATGTCTGTGCCCTGCAAACCACCCAGAAGGTTTCGGGCTGCCAAAGCTGACATGACGCCTCTTGTGGAGTAGGTGGCACTGCCGATGTGCGGCAACACCACTGCACAACATAAGAGAGGACAGAAAAGACTATTTTTCTCAAATCAGGAGGCAAAGTGGGAAAACAGAACCACATACTGCACATCCTGTCTACTCACCACAGTTTTTGAGTGTAAGAAGGGGGTGGTTTGTTGGGAGTGGCTCAGGTGTCGTGACATCAAGCCCAGCTGCGGCTATCTGTCCGCTGCTCAAAGCCTCATACAGATCCTCCTGGTTCACCACTGCCCCTCTAAACCAAACAGTTCACCACATCTTCACCGTTATGTATTTTAACATAATTAGCAAATGTATTGTCAAAAAACTCTATGTAGACGAGGCAATCTGAGAGAGATTAGTGACTGCAAAGTGGTGGTAGGAGAAAGGGTAGCCAGACAGCATCGCATGGTGGTGTGTAGGATGACTCTGGTGGTCAGGAAGAAGAGGAGAGGAAAGACAGAAAAGAAGACCAAGTGGTGGACGTTGCAAAAGGAAGAATGTTGTGAGGAATTCAGACAGAAGTTGAGACAGGCTTTGGGTGGTCAGGAAGAACTTCCAGATGACTGGGAAACTACAGCAGAAGTGATCAGGGAGACAGGTAGGAAGGTGCTAGGTGTGTCATCTGGAAGGAGGAAAGAAGATAAGGAAACGTGGTGGAACAAGGAAGTACAGGACAGCATTCAGAGGAAGAGGCTAGCTAAAAAGAAGTGGGACGTAGAAAGGACTGAAGACAGTAGACAGGATTACAAGGAATTGCAGTGTAGAGTGAAGAGGGAGGTGGCAATGGCCAAACAGAAAGCATATGATGAGTTGTATGCCAGGTTAGACACGAGGGAAGGTGAGAAGGACTTGTACAGATTAGCGAGACAGAGAGATAGAGATGGGTAGGATGAGCAACAGATAAAGGTGATTAAAGACAGAGATGGAAAGGTGCTAACAAGTGAGGAGAGTGTGCAGAGAAGATGGAAGGAGTATTCTGAGGAACTGATGAATGAGGAAAATGAGAGGGAAAGAAGGGGGAAGAGGTGAATATTGTAGAGCAGGAAGTAGCAAAGATTATAAAGGGTGAAGTGAGGAAGGCTCTGAGGAGAATGAAGAGTGGAAAGGCTGTTGGTCCAGACGACATACATGTAGAGGTGTGGAAGTGTCTAGGAGAGACAGCAGTGAAGTTTCTATCTAGTTTGTTCAACAGGATTTTAGAGAGTGAGAAGATGCATGAGCAATGGACGAGATAGTGAGATGTGCTGTAGGTCAGACAGAGGAGTTCAAGGTGGAGGTGGGGCTACATCAAGCTTCGGCTTTGAGTCCCTTCTTGTTTGCTATGGTGATGGACAGGTTGACAGATGAGGTCAGACAGGAATCTCTGGACAATGATGTTTGCGGATGACATTGTGATCTGTAGTGAGAGCAGAGAGCAGGTGGAGGAACACCTGGAAAGGTGGAGATCTGCTCTGGAAAGAAGAGGAATGAAAGTCAGTCGTGGTAAGACAGAATACATGTGTATGAACGAGAGGGAGGAAAGTGGAACAGTGAGGTTACAGGAGGCTGAGGTCAAGAAGGTGCAGGAGTTTAAGTATTTGGGGTGGAAAGTCCCGTGTGATGGGGAGTGTAGGAAAGAGGTGAAGAGGCGAGTGCAGGCGGGTTGGAGTGGGTGGAGAAAGGTGTCAGGAGTGTTGTGTGACAGAAGAGTGTCAGCAAGAATCAAAGGAAAGGTGTACAAGACAGTAGTGAGACCAGCTATGCTGTATGGGTTAGAGACTGTAGCAGTGAGGAAAAGACAAGAGGCAGAGATGGAGGTAGCAGAGATAAGAATGTTGAGGTTCTGTTTAGGAGTGACCAGGATGGACAGGATTAGGAATGAGCTCATCAGAGGGACAGCTCAGGTCGGTTGTTTTGGGGACAAGGTCAGAGAGGCCAGATTGAGATGTTTGGACATGTGCAGAGGAGGGATAGTGGTTATATTGGTAGAAGGATGTTGGAGATGGAGCTGCCAGGCAAGAGGTCAAGAGGAAGGCCAAAGAAGAGATATATGGATGTGCTAAAAGAGGACATGAAGTTAATTGGTGTGAGAGTAGAGGATGCTGAGGATAGAGTTAGGGGGAAACAGATGATTCGCTGTGGCGATCCCTAACGGGAACAGCCAAAAGAAGAAGATTGTCAAAAATAAGTGTCAACTGTCTACACCTATTAAAAAAAGAACAACTGTGGAAGTCTACCTGCTTGAGTTGACAAAGACTGCAGTGTTTTTCATCTTGCTGAAGAAAGCTTTATCACACAGCCCCTGGGTTTCTGGTGTCAGGGAGCAGGAAACAACTATGAAGTCGCTCTCAGGGACAAGCGTGTCCAGAGGCACTGTTCAACAGAGAAGAGACATGAAAGAAGGAGGAGCATAGAGTAACGAGAGATTCACAGTCATGTCTACTAACCAAATCCCCATATTTTTAATAGTCTTATATTAGAATTTCACATCTGTCCTGCCCTTTCTGTCTCACCATGCTTCCTTTCCTTACCAAACTCTCCATTCACCTCAGCAGCTTGGGTCTTTGCTGTTCTCCCAGAGTAGAGTATCTTCTTCACTCCAAATGGCATGAGTCTCCTAGCAATGGCCATACCTTAACACAAACACAGTCTGTTACTCACCTTAAAAGCTAGTACAAGACCTAGTCATATGATATTATATCCTATGATAATGAAGTTGTAATGCCAAAGTGAATGAAGAAACACCAAGCTCTACCAATACGCCCCAGTCCAATGATTCCTACAGTGCTGCCAGAAAGTCCCCACACAGCCAGAGAGGCTTCCATGCGCTCCAGCCACCACTGACAGACAAAGGAGAGATAGTGTGACCACTGTGGCAATTCCTTGTGCTTTTGGTTTAAAAAAATAATAATAATAATAAAGAAAACAGAGACAACTTGGTGACACTGACTTTTTGACCTCCTCCACTCCCTCTGGCAACCTGCGAGCGGTGGCCAGCAGCAGAGCTACAGTCAGTTCTGCTGTGGCGTCAGTCAGCACATCTGGAGTGTATCCAACACGAATACCGCTGTAAAAAACCAGAAGCCATATGACATTCCACCCTACCAGTGAAAGGTCATGTGTCAATGTAACTCACCGTTTTTTGATTTCACTGAGAGCCAAGTGGTCAAATCCCGCAGACAGGGTGCTGATTACTTTCAGGTTTGGTCCTGAAATCAAGGACAGATCAGCTAAAAAACTGAAATCTAGATTAAATGATTTATCACCAATCAGTTAATCAGCTAATTTTGGCTAGTTTGATTTGTATAAAGTATGTGTAATATATTACATATACTACTACATACAGTATATGCAAGATGATCATGTTTGGTATAAATGTAAAATAAATACAGAAATAAAAACTACAACATATCCATCTCAAATGTAATGTAATATAAGTATAAAATGAAAGCACACATGTTCAAGTTCCTCATAACTGTACAGTAGTTAAGTGAATGTATTTAATTACATTCCACCTCTCTTTTATTGTGAACTAAGGACTCCCTGAAAAGCTCTATCAACACCTGAGTGAATTGATCAGTACAATGGCCTGGTTCTACACACACATCCAAAACAGTCGTGCTATCATCAGACCACGATGAGTACCTGTAGCATCCAGAACCTCAACATCTATCTTGTCTGACAGCATACACAGAAGGCCGTGAGCCCCCTGCACACGTTTGAGAAGCTCTGATCTCGGTATGGGTTCATCCGAGTCCCACAGAGACACCTCACACCTGTTTGCATGGAGACAAATAAGCAGCAAATGCATTCAGACATACAGGCTTTAGTGTACGACAGAACTGACTGTAGTCGTGGTGTATATGGTCACAATCAGAGTGTGTGATCCCGCTGGACTTCCATTTTTAGATCTCACAGCCTCTTGTTGGCTGGAAGTGTGTTTAACATGAATCCAAGCAAACCTGATGACTGTCTTAACATATGGTCGAGTCTAGCTGACAGGAGAAGACAGACAGTAAACCTGATGACTGTCTTAACATATGGTTGAGTCTAGCTGACAGGAGAAGACAGGCAGTCTGCTGTTAGCTGATAATTGCTTACTTCCCGATGTCTAGTAACAGGTGACAGAAAAAAACACTTCATACACTCCAGCAGTTGACAGGATTTCCATGCCCTCCTGCGGGATGCGCCTCGTAACGAAAGTCTTCATGATTTTTTCAGCGGCCTGCATCCCTCTTCGGACAGAAGCGGGATGAACGGGTGTTTTAACAGTCTTATCAAAACTGGTATTTAAACTGCTTTAACCTGCAACGTCTGCAGGTCTCTAGAGGAACTATATGCACCGCGAGACAACAGAAAGCACTTGAGGTCAAGGTACTGCGCATACGCAGTGTTTTTTTTTTTTTTTTTTAACCTCACGAATGGTTCGGTTGAACGTCTTTTCATAATATTCATACAGACATTAGGTTACATTTAATGTCAGAGTTAGACCTTTCATCTGTGTTCTTTATTAAATTATCTGGGGGCAACACGTGATTGTCCCAATAATTTCATCCTATTAAGGGCATGATACATTTCTCAGACGTTGCTTCCTGGGTGTCGTAACCACTGCAACTCTGTGACCGTGGGACGCATGCGCGTTGCGATTTTACAAAACCAATAATATTTTTTTTTTACCAGTAACAACAGTAAACACCTACTCTGTACGAATGAATGCAACAGCCATCAGTAATGGAAATAATGATAAATAAGTGTACTCAGTTGTACACACTAAAGCACAGTTTGACTTTCTCT